CATCGAGTAAGCCAAACAACACATTATCGAGCGCATCATTACCACTGAGAACACACGTAACAGACAATGCAGCCCAGAAGAACGGTACTGCAACCAAAGTCCACAGCACGGAGAACCCCACTTCCTTAGTATTCGGACATAAAATAATGGATAAGGAGAATTCATATAATCCTAAAGTTAACAATGGAAACGTCTTAAGTCAGACTAATTCTCGAAATAACGTGATTCCAATTTATAACACGCCTGTGCCACCGACACAACCTCCAACAACAAAAGGAATTCAACATTCCAACGGAGGGAGTCCACCAGTTGGTAATTCTATGAATCAAGTTAATCGTGGAAGTGCGACAGCGACTTTGGATAGTGCATCAACAAATTCATCAAACAAACCTGCTGTCTCAATCGTAAGAACCGAATTGGTATCACAGAAGGAAACATTTTTAACCAAAAAAGATGTATCTACCCCGATTAAATCAACGGGATCTGACATAGGTTCGTATCTTATTCACAAATACCGTATACACTGTATGATGTAATTCATAAATGTGCATTCTACAATGGTTTCTGACAGATAAACCAAGTCCGGCAACAATCGCAGCTATGTATGCAGGTGAGAGCCTGTGCTCAATATTGTGTTATGACGAACTATGGATTGTATGTTAATTTTAAATATACCTTGGAAACAGATTTTGATGATAAAATGGGATCATTTTTTTCGGATTTTATGGTCGATGAAACTGGCATCGAGCTTGATGAGTGAGTATTATATCTTCTCTTTCAAGCTATCTCGATTGAACTCGTCAGTTGACATTTCTTTAAACTTTTAATATATAGTAGTTTTATGTTTACTTGCGTCGCCGATTTTCAAGATGCTCGTGCAAATCAATCCCCATTTCCTGAAGGTCATTTGGGTGAGATGTTTAGATAGTTGCAGAGGACTCATCAAAAAGATTATTAACAAATTAACCCGTATATTTGTAGTGCTCGATGAATACTGTAGTCCTATAAAAAGAACCGAAAAGAATTTATTTATCGAGGGGGTACCAGATCTCAATCTCTCTAGCGAGCAATCTAGTCAAAAGAAAGTCCAGGCAAGTGTCGATTCCACATCTTCACAGAAGATTAAAATGTCACCGAGAAAACAGCTCCAAAATTACAAGAAGGATTTGAAGTTAAGTGATAGCACGAACATTGACCAGAACACGGGAAAGAGAAGGCTGAACCCAAGCGAGAATACTTCTGTCAAACATCCGATGTAAGTTTTGGTATTCTCATTGATTCGAATAGTATTCCTGTTTTTAACTTCTGCTTCATGATTCAACAGTCCAAAAGATGCTCCAGTATCCAATGAGTTAAATCAACATCTTAAGAAAAGAAGAGTCTAGGAATTAAAGAATTCTTTGAATATTTTGTTCTCCAGTAATGGTTTATTAAAGGATTCGAAGTTCGTGATGAGCTTATTTAGACAAATTTTGAAAATTTTCTTTTTTAATCTTTTAATTTTTTCAAAATTTATTTGGACGGTAAAGGTAGTGGATTGCATTTGGATGAATTAAACTTGACGCCCTGAATTCGTGTAATGTATATACAATCTCTTATATTGAACATCATGTTGGCATTTTATAAACTGTTTCTTTGTTAAAAAATTCCTGAGGATTAATATAAATATATATAATTATTATACGCGGTGAATTTTTTTTTTTTTTTTTTTTTTAAAAAAAATTGTATACATTGACATCCTACGTAATATTATAAGGATACAAAATATATATCTATGTATATATATATTTTTATACACTACATTGTCACTATTAAATACTTATATACGGGAAGAATGAAAGGTTGGCGCGATAACTGTGTTAGTTACCGACGTATGTTGTGTTCACTATTCCGGTATTATCACACCACCCATTAACTGGTAAGCAACTTAGATATTTGCACCATGGACATGATTGGCTTGGATCGGTCGTGTAAAAATTATGAATGAGTAAATAAAATAGGAGCACAGCTAAAGGTAACGCAATAATCCTGACAGCCCAGTTTGCACGTTTGTGGAATTTTGATAAGTTGATTGTCGGGTTTAAAATGCATCCAGTTACCAATCCCATCAAAAATC